GTTGAATGTGAAGCTGCAGCTTCTGTTTGATGTGGAGGATGGAGCCGTGGGCCCAGAAATGGACGGAGCCGAGGAGTCAGAATCTTCTCAGACAGCAGAAAAGTGCAACGAGCACCACACTCCTGCCTGTGCCTGGTCCCTGGTGTGAAGTCTTACCTTGAGTAATCGTCGGCCGTGTGCTTGGTCATTTCTTTGTTTTATTTTTTTAACCCTTGCATGGTTTAAAAAACCCCAACTTATAATCATTGCATTCTTTGACAGTGATTAACCCTTAATAGCACTAGGGACTATAATGGTGGGTGTTGGGACTTTAAAGAAAATACCTGGGTTGTGTACTGGTACTACAGGGTGGTGTATTGACCTGGTATCTGTAACTCAGTGAACTTCAAATGCCAAAACCTTCAGGTTGCCCTCTGTTCAGTTTCCTCAAGAGAAAACTAAAGAGATAAACTGTTTCAGAAACAAATCTCTTACATCTAGAGAGAAATTAGACAGTGATGAGTTCATTGTGTTCGGACTCTGACTATCAGTATACAATGTATTAGAAATGGACTCAATGACACATGAGCACCCCCTGGAGGCTGACTGCAGAATAAGTCCATTTTTATTATTACTGTAACCTTTGTTTCAGACAAAAGTCCATTTTTATTATTAACCTTTATTTCAGACCCTTTGGGGTTTTGCTGCGGTGACACCTGAGGAAGGGAGCAGCCAAAATAAAGAAAATTATATATTTTTTTCAGAACCTTTGGTCCATAAGATATATGTTACATCCCATAATAAGTGCAGAGATTTTGACACATTATTGTTCCAGTGTTTCCAGAAGCTTGAAGAACATGTTGGATCTCTTTGTGTTGTTAAACCTAAAGTCTTTATAATTGTACTTTAGGCAAAAAGAAAACAACAATGGTGTGTATAAGATTTTTCTACAAAGCATAAGTGGAAATATTACTTGAGACATGTTAAACTTTCTTTAAAGCATTTTTTCAAAGTACTTTAAAAGTAGTTTTGAGGTTGTTTTTTAACTTTAAAAGTAATTTTTGCATATTTGTGGAATTTTTTCTTCTAACTTTTTTCCACAGTCACAATAAAAACCTGTTTATTCTCACAGACACGACTAGAAGACGTCAGGTTTTTGACCTGACCATAATTCCTGTCTACAAACGTCCATCTGATGAACACGTGGGTGTCGTCATGCAGGAACTGCATCGGCAGCTGCAAATAAATCCTGAATGTGGACAAAATGACAGAGGACACT